CATCGAAAAATGAAATCGGTTGATTCGTTTAGTCACAAGAGTCAAAAAACCGTTAGGGGGTCCGGTTTGCCCCACTCTCTCCTATAGTTAATAACCTTTATTTAAAAATTTGGTACCTACTTCTAGAATAAACTAACAGGGTTAAATGACATTTTCGGATGTTAAAAATTAAAAAATAAGCGAAGGTTCAAGTATAAAAACCTTAAAAATGTCGAAAATTTTGAATTTTTAATAAAAAATTAAGAATAATTTTTCTCTCTAAATAAACCAAAAAATACCAAAAAATATTTTAATGGTAAATAATACACATAAGTATCAATATATTCTAAAAATTTGGAGAGAGAAAAGGTGATCTTTTTAAGAAAAAAATTAATTTTTTGTTTTTTAAAAAAATTGAATTTTTATTCTTATTTTTCATTACTTTTTATTTTGCGTAATTTTTCATAAAAAAAGGAAAAAAAATTAGCCCAAGAGCAACAAAAAAAGTTGAAAATTACGCATGTTACGCAATTTTATACCAGTGTAGAAAAATTTCGGGGCAGTCTGGAGTCCAGTGATAGACCCAACTAGACGCATCTGGACGGTCTAATCTGGACGGTCTAACTGTATGCTATATGGGACTTCATTGGCATCACTAGAATTCAAAATTTTTTAAGGGACCATTCAAGTATTACGTAAGCATTTAAGGGGAAGGGGGGGTCCAGCTATTGCTTATTTCCATTAGAAAAAATGGCGCTAATGCCTATAAAAAATCTTACATGGGGGAGGGGGGGTCTAAAAACCTGAAAAATATGCTTATGTAATACTTGAATGACCCCTAAGTAGGGTGATGTGGGGTGATGTGCAACACCGCCGATTTCTGATCTACAGTTCGATATTGAACATAGCCAAGTATTGCCATTTGTTTGTGTCCTCAGTAGCTTGTTTTTGATATGAAACTCACGAGACAGCTCGCAGCTAGGTTTGTTGTACATAAGTTGACTTAAATTTCTCGAGAAGGAAATATTTCTCGCGCTTTACATTTCTAGTCGTTTCGTGAAGGGTTTTAATTTATTTTATACTTCCATTGCATTGTATTGCTTATAGATCATTTTTCGCAAAATATCATATTTGGGGTGATGTGCAACACTTTTTTCTTTTTTATACTTTACGTGCCATAACTGCGATTCACATGATGAATAAAAAATTCTTAGTTATTTTCCTTTAATTATATTCCTTATTTAGTTATTAATAAATAAAAAATTAAACAAAAAAGATTTTTTTTTCTTTGGTGAAACCTTCACTCTTTAGAGGTCAACTATACCTTAGTAAATTTTTTTTGTCAGATTTCGATTAGTTTCCATTGAAAAAGCCTAAAATTAATAATTAAAGAGATTTCCATCGATATTTATTAATTACATACCTGAATTTTACTTGTGTTGCACATCACCCCAACTTTTTTGGAAAATGCAAAAACAGACGTTTTTGAAAAAGCGAAAAATTTGTAGGAAGAATTTAAAATTCTGAAAATCTAATAATGCAAAAATATTCTATTATAATACCTCTAAGTCATTCAATTTTGAAATATTTAAAAATTTAATTATTTGACATGTTTTTCGTCCAACGAAAAAAAACGTTGCACATCACCCCACAACACCCTACAATCAAAACTTTAGTACCCGATTTGTCGGTCTTCTTTGAATTTATACATGCGCAATGGATTGTCACTTCAAAATTGAATGGAATAATTTGGTCAATCTAAAGAATCGTTCAAAAATAAATATTGTAGGTTTATATGAATTATTATAAATAAAAATAAAATTCAAATCTATACATTATAAATTATTTAATAAACAATTTCACTTAGAAATTTCAAAATTAAATGTTTTATTAGAGTTACGTTTACAATTTTCATAAATAACTTCAAAAGGTTTGGATTTGAAATTTTATAAATTTGAATTTTCAATGAATTTAATTAAAAATTTTAAAGAACTTAGATTTTTGAAAAATGCCTAATAATTCAAATTCTCCTGAAATTAGATAAATTGTTTAACATATTGTACTTGATTAATTATTAAAAATAATTTATCTGTAGAAGAATTTTAGTAATTTTAATTACTTTCATAAATAAAAAACCTTTCACAAAAATTCAATAAGTATTTACAAATTTTTTATAAGTGTCTTCTCAATAATTCAATTATTTTTATAAATAATAAAATTCTCAGAATTTTTTTATTATTAAAAATTTCTTAGTTAATCTCAGAATTTCTTAATTATTTTTAATACAATTTTAATCGAATTCTTCGAAAAGTGTACACTGAGAAAACTGGAGTATTGGACTAAACATCTGGAGGGACAAATCGTTCATATTTGAGAGTTAGCTATTGGATAACAATCTAAATGTTCAAATTCACCATTGACAGATATTCGTGCCATTTCTCTAACAGAGAGACAAATTAACTATCTTGAGAAATCCCTTCCTTATCCGGCGCGAAATGAATAAATATGGCAACCTAACCCCTAAATTAAATACATAAAATGTCAGAAAAATAATTTCGCGCGCATCAGATCGTACACATTTTCTGCGCAACTTTTAACCCTCAGATATAATGGGAGAGAATATACAAGTAGATTTCCATTACCAATTCAAAATTTATTTTAGAAGGACTATTTAACTCTCTTCATAAGCAAAGGAAACATACACTTTTTGAACCTCCGAATTTGACACTCCAGTTTTCTCAGTGTATAATTATACTTAAGAATTCTATTAAAATTCGTCAAAAGAATTCAATTATTTAAAAAAATTTTGATAAAACTGAAAGTAATACTTTAAAAAATTGTTAAATGATTATAATTGTAGTAAGAATTATTTATTAAAATAATTCAGGATTATTATGTGTAATAATTAGTCATAGTTTTCACTTCGTCCTTATAAGCAACAGAATATATGACACTGGTATTGATATAGTAAATTAGGAGAGTTCACACCCAAACTTTAGTGTCCGTGCGGTTTAAATGCGTGGCGTCGGGTCGTCAAGGATGGGGGGCGTGAGTTCGATCCCACATGCGAGCGGATATTTTTCATTGTAAGTGTTATATAAAATAATAAAATTACTATATTTAATCTGTATAAGTGTTATAAATTAAAATTGTAAACATGTTTGTAAATAATATGTTAAAGGTCTGTTAAAGAATGAATTTAAAAAATGTACTAATTAACGCAATTTGTTTTTTTATTAAAATTATTTTTCAATATTACTATTTTAAATGATATTTACTGCTAGTGTAGTATATAATTTATTTGAAAATAATATAATTATTAGAATAATAAGTTATTGTCATTAAATATATGTATGAATAACAATAATATTTATTATTATTATTAATAATTCATATACCTATTCACATTACTTTGAATAAACGTGAGAAACAAGTAAATTTGGGTAAATTATTTAAAATTAAAAAACTGAAATATTGAAATCGAACCTAAAATTTTAAATATTAGCACTGCTCATTAGCCCTGATTAGCTTGTCCAGTCTGGACCAACGCGTAGTTCGATCGTCACTGGTTTGATTAGCCCATGATCAGACAGTCTTTTCAGCGCCCAGTTAGAGAATAGACTGTCTTTCTGGCACCACACTAGAACCCAACAATTTTTCTACACGGGAAGAAGAAAATACAAAAAAAGTCATTTTTTTCTAAAATCTTAAAATATTCGTAAAGAGTGTAAACAAAATCCTATCAAAAATTAAAAATACAATACGTATTTCTCTATTTTTCGATATGTATATTTTAAATGGAAAATGTATCGTCTTTGGGGCAAGGTTTCACACTAAAAAAAAAGTTTTACTTTCAGCCTCTTTTTGAGGCTGAATTTAAGGTGTAAACGGAGTCAGCCCCGTTAAACAAGGACAGACTTATGTGAAACACATGGGCTGAATTTAAGGTGTAAACGGAGTCAGACTTTTTTTTTCCTGTGTTATTGTGAATATTAAGAGCTTATTTTGGTTTGACATTTATTTTGAACGGTAAACTAAAAATTTAGGGGGCGCGACGCGTCGCAAGCAATATAAACAACTTGGTAAATAACGGACACCCTAGTGTTCACATTGGGATAATTTTATTATCTCTATTTTAAATTAAACAAAATTTTCGTTTAATATTTAGTTTTATCAATTTATTTTTTATTTTGTTCTTGAATATGCGCAAACATGCGCCTTTTGCGTTTATCCTTTTAGTAATTCAATTAGTAATGACGTAATGACTATATTTGAATTAGTAGTTTTCAACTAATTCTAGGTGGACGACTTTTCGCCTTTTCAATCAGTAATATTCTATTAAGAATTAGTGAAATTTAACTAATTCATATTCAGAGAGTATATATACTTATATAAAAGTATTAGACCTAACAATTTTGTCTGACAACAATTAACATTTACTACTGATTCAATAATAAGAATTTCAGAAACAGTTCTCTTGAACGAAAACTTAATTCTATCCACTCTCTCCAACCGCAATTTTTGCTACTGTTGCTGAAATTAAACAAAAGAGAACAAAGGCAGCCATTTATTTAGGGTGATTTTTGTGAGACGAGTGGAGGACTTTGTTTCCGTGTTACTTACGATATTTTTTATTCTTAATACACAAAAGTATCGATTTCAGATTGCAGACGACAGGGAGTAATTTCATTCACTTGTTCGATTTATATGAAGATGGCGTTCATTTTCATACGGTCTGATACGGTCGAACAAATTAATAACTTTACTGTCGTCAGCTATCTAAAAGCGTCATTTTTGTGCATGTGGGATAAAAAAATATTATACCTTCGCATTTCAAAGAATATTTCAATATTATTGAATATTATTCTCAAGGAATATTTTGGAAAACTATTTCAATAATATTTCTTTGTAATAAAGGAAAATTATAAAACGAGAATTCTCTCTATCGCTTTTTCTTCTTAATAAATATAAAATCATGTAAAACTGACCGTCATTTTATTTTACTTATAACACACATTTAGAAAGAGAAGAATGTATGGCTTTAAATGTCCTTCATCACTGGGAAGAGTTTCCTATCTGTGGCTGTGCTTTAGTGCCCGAGCATGTTGAAAGACGACCACTTTTCAACCACACAAAACCAGGACTGGAACAGGTATACTGATTTCTCAAAGACTTTTCATATCAAAGACCCAGTATACAGCTAATAATTCACCCTCGCTAAAGAACATTTTCTATAAATAGTTTCTCCTAATTAAAAAATTTATTCAAATCTTCCTAATCGACCTCATTTTTATATACTGTCTCTAAAAGAAAGGTACTAATTTAGTACCAATTTTGGGTACTAAATCGTCATTTGGTTCTATTTTAATACCGAAAATCAGTTCTAATTTAGAACCTTTTATTTACATTGTATAATCGAATTTTTATACTCGAAGAAAAATTATTTCACTTCAAAAACATATTAAAAAAATGTTTTTCTTTTCTAAATAATACCTATTTTATTATTAATTATTATTAACTGTCAACTATATATAATCAGTAATTTTAATTTAATAAACAAAAATAATAAATAAGTAGAATTAATAGTAATAAATAATAATAGTTAAATTTAATACTACTTACACGGAAAACATTAGTCGTTAAAATTTTCCTCGAATTTATTAGAAAGTGTATTAATAATCAAATTAACAGTTGTTAAAGAAATAGACAACAGTTGAAAAAAGTTTAGAAAAAGTGTTCTAAACCTTCCACGACAGTCGAGGAAAATGAAAAGTCCAGTTTTATCTTTTTCAGCCTCCATGTTGAATTGGCTATTTTGAATTTTTAGAAACAAATATCGGATTCGTAATCACCAACACCGTAAACATTTAAAGTAGATGACCTTTTTAAAGTAATATATTTTGATTTGCAGTAACAATTGTTAAAATTAAAATTAATAAAAAAATTTGACTGTGGATTCGAAATCAGTGTTAAAATTTACCTTAGAAATAGGTTTCTGACGCTACCTTGGTGCTATCAAGTTTTCCTAATTATATTTTTATCACGACGTGAAATGAAATGTCAATATAGTTATTATACTGAAATACTATGTTTTATACTATTAACTATATTTTACTCTTTTTTGCTATAAACTTTTTTAATTTCATTATTATTAGGTTTACTTTAAATATGACTTATTTGTTAAAATTTCGTTTATATTTCAAGTTAGCAGGATTTGATTTATGAAATTAAAAACAAAATTTTATTGTTATGATAATTATCAATATATTTTTTTTAAGATAAAGGGTCCAGAAAGAAAAAACCATGGCGGGCAGGAAAAATTGTTTATAATTTTTTAATTTGTTTAAAAAAAATTTAAAGAGAGATTTTTTAATTTCATAACATATTTAAATCTTGATATAAATTGTTTGAAATCAAAAAAGCCATCTATCCAAAAAGATTTCTTAGCAGAATTATTATTTATTACTGAAAAATTAATTAAATCTGTTGTAAATAAGTATAACAATTAACAAATTCACTGTTTGGACAGTTTTTGACGTTAGAAGGTATTTTCTTCAAATAATTTATGAAAATTATAGTTATTTATAAAAATTGTTGCGGTAATTTATAAAAATATTGTAGCCTGAATCTCAATTAAAAATTATTATTTCGGTAATTTATGGAAATTTTCAAGGTAATTAATGGAAATTCCACATAAGTTACAATTAAAAATATTTATTTTAGCAATTTATGGAAATTTTCGCGGTAATTTATAGAAATTTTCGCGATTATTTATAAAAATATGTATAGCAAAAATTATCATTCAAATTTTGGATTTCAGTCATTTATGGAAATTTTCGCGGTAATTTATAAACATTTTGACGATAGTTTATAAAAATATGTGAAACACGAATGACAAAAATAGGTACTAAAAAAATCTAGCTTATCTCATATTGTAAGATTTCTAATGCATTTAAAATAGGGGAAAGTTGAAACTAGAGGACCATGTAATCAAAGGCGTTCTACTGTATCTATAAATTTTGCCTGTTTTCAGAGAAACAGTTTTTACTATATATTTTAAAAAAGGCGCAGAGTTGTTCAACAATGATCATAATTGAGAAAACTGACATTTTATAGAATATTCTTTATTGAAACCGTCACAAAACATATATGTGTCATGTTGTGATAAGTTCCAGTCGTTGCACAGTCTTCACATCAAATAGGTTAAAAGAGGATGGATATAAGATTGTATCATTTTCTATCCCATTCAACATGCACCTGGCTGACAGGTCTCCCACTACTTACCATTTGAGGAGTAAAATCAGTGGCTTTTACTGCTAAACTTTTCACAGCTTGAATGTAATTTATAGTAAAATTTAAATATGTAAATATTCACTATTATTGTAGAGTTAGATTATTTGTAAATCTCTTTATGATCGTGATATTTGAAGTACCAGCGAAAAGTAAAAAAATGTTCCTTCTTCATTTCTGTAATATTTGAAAAAATGTGCGGTTTCATCCACCACTTTCGAAAATGCGTTTTTCTTTAATATAGATCATTCCGCAATTGTAAAAGTTTTGAAAAAAACAAAAATACTTAGATAAATGAAAGCTTTTCCACTTTGGAAAAAATGATGTTGCTAGCGTTACAAGCAACTTAAAGGAATTTAAGAAAGTGTTTGCAGACCATGTCTCAAAAATTTTATGCTATCCTGTTTGACCTTTCGAGGACATTCCCTCCAGTGTGAAACATACATGCACATATGAAAAATGCAAGAATTACAATAACTTTGAGGAATCATTTTATTTAGACATATTTTTTTATTTATACATAGTAATGTTTTATAAGCGATAATTTTGTTTCTTAAATAAGCTTCAACTTTATGATAATAAATATTTGCACATTAAAATTTTGCTTAACATTATATTGTAACTATGAAATCCTTGCAATGAGACCCACTGACTTAACTCCTTTAATGGTAACTAGTGGGAGATCTATGTGATGGACCGACTTGTCATTAGGCATGCATTTAGCTTCCAAATGAAATATGTTGTGTCGAGGACACGACACATAGTAGCCCAGAAAATGTCGTGTCGTGTTCTCGACTCAAACCATTTGCCAACAGTGCAATTGTATCGTATAAAGGATACGACACAATTGGTAATGATGAGATGTGTTGTGTCCTGAACACGTCACATTTGCTCATGCACTATGTATCGTGTACTCTGCAGAACACAATTGACGTTTGTGTTCCAAAAGCAGTAGAATATTTTTTATCCTAATTCGACGCCAAAAGAGAAAAACAATAAATGGACAGTTCATAATTCCTACACACTGAAAGAAAGTATTTCGGAATGTTAGGAATTTGATTATGTTTAAGAATTTCTGTCAAGTTTTCAGAAACCAAATGTTATTTTTACCGCAGTAGTTAGGTTAAATGAGAGATTTAAAAATGAGGGACACTTAACCTATAATTTGAAATAAGGTTTCCGTAATTCAAATACTTGTAGAATAGAATAACACGCATCTCTTTTGTAAGCGAACGAAACTAATGTAAAATGTTGTTAAGAGTTTTAGCAGTTTTTAAATTTTACACTTAAAATATTTGTTTAAATCATTTTAAAAATTTAAATCAATATCTTTGATTTAAAAGTGACACATGTGATTTATGTCAAATCGACAAAAAATTTTAAAATTGAGTGAACTTGTCAATTTATCAAATTATTAATCTTTATTAAGGGGTAACACTACTCTATAGGAAGAAAAAGAGACCTATTTTTAATGATTTGTTTTAAAAAAATCAAATATAGAATTCGTTTTAATTTTGGATGGTTTATTAAATTCATATTGAAATGTGAAAAAAACTATTTTTTAAAAATTATATAACTAAATAGCGGTGGTAAATTTCATATTCAAAATCGACTATTTTTTACAGCTGGAAAGGTTTTTAGAAAAGTTTAAGTCCTGGAACAAAAAACAATAGTATTATAAACAATAGTATAAATTTTAAAATTACATATGGATTTTTTAATTAAATGTAAATTTTATTTTTCATAAACAAGCAATTTAGTGCTTATTTTTTGTCAAAAAGTCGATTAATTTACTTAAAAAGTGCGTCATTTTTACAAAAATTGATATAAAAAATTCCTTATGTACTTCTAAAGTTTATTTTATATTGATCATGAAATGTTTTTGTTTTTTGTTCCAGGACTTAAACTTTTCAAAAAACTTGTCCTGCCGTTTTGGTCATAAAAAGATAGTTAATTTTGACAATGAAACTTATCGCCGCCATTTTGTTATAAAATTTTTAAAAAATAGTTTTTTTTCACATTTCAATATGTATTTAATAAACCATCCAAGAAGAAATCCTATTCTTTTTTTCATTTTTCCAAAACAAATCATCAACAATAGGTCTTTTTTCTGCCTCTAGAGTGGTTAAAAATCAGTTATAACGGTTCTGACATTTTTGTAAGTACCTCAAAGTAGTGGAGTACTGATTAAAAACTTTAAAGCGTGCTTTTAAATGCGGGTAAAGAATACATTTATTTAAATGTATTTAATTTTAATTTTTATAATTTTAAAAAGCTTTGTTTAATTGTGACGAGTTCGTTTCGGTCCTGGCATAACATAACCTTGTGCTTTAAAGCTTGTTGTTATCTAAAACACTCTAAAAAATATTTTTAAATTCTGTAAAATATTAATAAAAATAATAAGGACAAAATAAAATTCATTTTAGTAAAAAATAAAATTCAGATATTATTAGAAAAATCTTTCTTCATAAATAGAATAAATTTGTAAAAAGATTAAGGAATAAAATGATATTTGTCACATTTAGAGCGAAAATAAAATTTGAATAATGTTGAACAGTTTCAAATTGTCTTTATATCATTCCGAAGGGAAAGTTGGAAATGTGGATAGACATGTTTCCGATGAGCGAGCTTCCGCCAAAACCGCCGATTGATATCACGCCTCAAGCACCGGAAGATTTCGAACTTCGTGTGATAATTTGGAATACGGAGAACGTTCCCCTAGTTGATAATCAATTCCTTACTGGCGAAAAGTGTTCTGATATCTACGTCAAAGGGTATATAAATATTAAATTTTTTCCCATTTCAAAACTTTTCTTATCACTTCATCACAGCTTTTCTTCGATTCTTTTTTATTTTCTCTCTTTGTAAACTCAAATAACTTGAAAAAAAACTTTTTAAAAAATATATGGGCAATTCCACGTGAGATTTAAGTCGACCTCTTAAAATCGGACAAAAATATTTTTTTTCTATTCTGTATCGAAAAAAAACAGATACGTATTTTTTTATTTATGTTTAATTGTCCAAATTTTCAAGTTATGAATTTTCGAAAATTTGGACTTTAATTGTAGATCTATATTCAGTAGCTTATAAGTCCGAAAATATTGAGTTTAGGAAAAAGTTGTCAAAGAATGAAAGTTTTAGTTTTCTTTCGACTTTTAAGAAATGTAAACAAAAAAAATTTTTTTTTTTAATTTTTATTTAAAAAAAAATTTTTTTTATAAACAAATTAATTTTTTTTAACTTTGGGCCGGATTTTTTTTTATTTTTTTGTACCTTATAATATAGAGAAGATTTTCCAAAAAGTCCCGAAATGGGCCTGATGTGTTAAATGAGTTTTGAAATATTTTCAAAAATCACTTGCAAGCATCACGGTGGGATTTTTTTTACATTTAACTTTTTAAAACTGTTTACAGCGTAGACCCTTTTATTTAAAACAAAGAACACTCAAATAGATTAAAAATTATACGCTGTAAACAGTTTTAAAAAGTTAATTGTAAAAAAATCCCACTGTGATGCTTGCAATTGATTTTTGAAAATATTTTAAAACTCATTTAACACATCAGGCCCATTTCGGGACTTTTTGGAAAATCTTCTCTATATTATAAGGTACAAAAAAATAAAAAAAAATAAAAAAAATCCGGCCCAAAGTTAAGAAAAATTAATTTGTTGATAAAAAAAAAATTTTTTTCAATAAAAAATTTGAAAAAAAATTTTTTGTTTTCATTTCTTAAAAGTCGAAAGAAAACTAAAACTTTCATTCTTTGACAATTTTTGCCTAAACTCAATATTTTCGGACTTATAAGCTACTTAATATAGGTCTACAATTAAAGTCCAAATTTTCGAAAATTCATAACTCGAAAATTTGGACAATTAAACATAAATAAAAAAATATGTATCTGTTTTTTTCGATACAGAATAGAAAAAAAATATTTTTGTCCGATTTTAAGAAGTCGACTTAAATCTCACGTGGAATTGCCCATATATATAATACACAAGTCTCTTGAAGCACAGTTATATTTTATTAAAGTTAAAAACTGTTATTAAAACTCAAAATAAATGAAAGAATTAATATACCAAATTAAAAAAAACTAAAAAAAACTTAAAAACTGGAAAAAGAATAAATTATTACGCAAAAGAAAATTTTATAAAAAACGAAAATATATAATTTTATTATTTAAACTGTAGTAATAAAATTATATTATCAGTGATTAATTAATGTCATTGGACAATTATTTATTTTTGTTGAAAAAATACTCTCCCTAAGGGAATTAAAAAAATTAGAAATATTTTTCATAGTTTCAATTCATTTCATTCAACATACACATTTTGCCACTCAAGTAAAATTTATTATCTTCTTCAAAAATGATATTTCTGCTACTCGTAAAGTGCAAATGCAAATGCAAGTGCAAAAAAAAAAATTGAAAATCTCCTACTTTTCTTATCTTGCAAAGAGAAAAACTTTTCTTCGCACTTAGTGTAACGGAAATACGCGAAATATTTATTTTTATGCTCAGAGTATCCCTCTCCACCATCTTCCTTTTTAAATAATTGTAAAAAATATTCTATACTTTACATTTACGAAAAACTACAAGTCTTTTATTTCTTGCTTCCCTATTAGCCCAACATATTCGCTCCATAAACACTAAGAAAACAATTTATTTGAATCAAACAAATTTTGTTTAAATCAAACTTAACATATCTTTGCTATACACTCAAATATATTTAAGTTTAATTAAACCATATTTTTTAAACGTATTTTCTGTTTAATGTATAAATCAAAACAGAATGTATGTTTGAATTAAATACAATTATTCAAACAAATAATACTTTTTAATCAAAGCAGTAGATATTCTCTATGTATTATATGGGACTAAGCTTACAAACTAATTTTAATTAAACAAAATCATCTAAAACTATTTTTGTATTTCATTTAAGTATAATGTTTTCTCAGTGAATTATTTTGCACTAATATTTATTAATTTCAAAGTAAATAATAAGCTTCTATATCTGAAGTAAATAAATTTTTTTCTATGTACTATTTGTAAAAAAGGGAATTTCCTTTAAATAATAAAGTTTTTATATGAAAGTTATGTTCTATTTATAAAATTCATTTTATTTTATAAAATTTAAACTACACAGTAAAAAAAATCTTATTTTAAAGCAGGGAACGCTTAATTTAGGTAATAGATTTTGGAGGAGTTTACATTGAAGCAGACTCTCTAAATCTGAATAATATATGTGAAAATTCACATATTTTAAAGTTATTAGTCGCTCCCTCAATCAATAAGTTTAGAGCATATGCACTTATAAATAAGTGAATTTTTCACTTATTATAAGTAAGTAATTTATTAGTAGAAAGTTACTAATAAAATTACGAAAAGTCGTCCACCAAATAATTTAGTAATAATTTTACTAACAAATAATGAAATTTTACTAATTGTTAGAAGAGCTTTACTAATTTCTTAGTAGAATTCTACTAACAATTAGTGAAATTTTACTATTTCTTAGTAGAATTCTACTAATTCAGATTTAGAGAGTACTGAATTTAAGATTTTCTTTTTACTGTGTATTTTATAAAAAGTTATACATAAAATAAAATAAATATTTTATAACATTAAAATAGTTGAAATTTACTGTTAAAATGTCCGTTTTTTAATTTTACAAACACAAGTTGGATTCTATCCGAAGATATTCAAAAGACAGACGTACACTATAATTCGTTGACGGGAGAGGGAAATTTCAACTGGAGATTCATATTTCATCTTACTTATTTAAGAGGCGAGCGTTTAATGATTATCCAGAAGAAAATGTCTGCTTTCGCTCGAGATGAAACGGAAGTGAAACTACCATGTAGATTGAATCTCCAGGTTTGGGACAGCGACCACTTTTCCTCAGATGACTTTTTAGGTGAGACTCAATTTTGCTTGAAAATTACTTTTAAAAAAGTGAAGCAGTTGAAAGAAAATGGCTCAGTTTTCTAGATTCGATTTACATAAAAGACGTGATTTCAGAACTATATACATATATATGTTAAGAAATTGCGCAAACTCGAGTGCATGAAATGGCTAACCCTTCAACCTGAAAACTCAAGGGAGTGTTGTAATTACTTTTTCAAGTAAAACGAATAGGCTAACTTAATTCCGCGTATTTAAATACGAACATGAACCGCTTTTCTCTAAAAATTTAGTGTCTGAATTGGCAATACTGTTTTACATTTTAAGTATATTGTTGTATGAGACGCAATAACAATTCGCATTAAATCTAAAAATGGTTCAGATTAGAAAAAAAATTTTAAATATAGAAAACCGACTGGATAGAGATTAGTTTTTGTAACTGTCTAGCCAACGCCAAGTAAGGGCGGTGACAGTATTAAAAACCAAATTTTCTGTAACTTTTATTAATATATGACAACTAGAAAAGAAATCCCAACTTTAAAAGTGCTCCCTGGAAATTCTTAGGAGCACTTTCCTAGAAATTTTTCCACATAGGATTTTTACAGCATAAATTAATATTGTATTTAAATAGTCAGGTTGAGTTGCCTCTTTAGAAAATTATTAACTACATTTTTTGTGGTGGAAATTAACGTACTTAAATAGAAAAAAAATGTAATTAAGTAAACCGTTTTTTTGATTACAGAAATTAATATTTGTATAGGAAGAGAAAAAAACTGTACCTTTAGAAAAAATATTTCTTTAGAAAAAATCAATTTTTCCTTATAAAAATTAACACATATATATGAGTTGTGAAAAATTCTTTCTTCGATAACCGATTTAATTAAGAATTTCATCACCGAAGTTATACATTATCAACTGAATTGAAATTAGTGCCATTTTTACTGATTCAGATTTAAAGTGTAATTAGTGCCAGGATAAATTTTTTTTAATTTTACTTTCCCTTCAGTTAGAATGAGAAGAAAAGTTTCAAAAAATTTCTATATTTGAATTAAACGAGAAATATTTAAATGAAACAGAAAAATTTTTCAACACACAGAATTGAGAAACCCATTCTCACATCCGGCCGAGCATTCTTTCATTTCCGGTAATCGCGCTCTGCATTCTAGATTCTGAAAGGGGAACTATTATCTTCGTAATAGTAAGGAAGAGATACATTGTAACGATCATTGTTAATGGAATAGAAAATTGTCCTTTCATTTCCTAATATTAATATTTTTTCAAAATGAAATGAAATATTTTTCTAAAAATTTATTTTTGATCGAAAATAATCTATTTCACACAAATCCTTATTGACAAATGGTTTTGGATTATTCGCCAAATGTCATTATAATGCAAAAGAAAACAATTTTCTTTCAACTGTGTTTCTTTTTCACTTTTACTATCGAAACTTATTATACGAAATCTATATTGACAAATTATTTTCCAAATCATTAACAACGAAAAAAAATACAACAAATTCCAATTTGTTTTTCGACTTTCATACTGTTTAAATTTATTTTTCGAAATTCCTATTCATAAATTACATTCGATTTCTTTCCAAGTCATTAACAAGGGCAAGGGTACAAATTTTCCTTTTCATTTATTTTTTCGAATAAAAATTCAATTAATTTTCTATCCGATATAAATTTTGTACTGGAATGTGTAAATTTTAAATGTATCTCTCTATATAGATCTGCTCTTCTCTTAAAATTTAGGTCAATTTTATGGTCTGTTTTGACCTACATGTAAAAACTTAACGATAAATTTAGGTAAATCTTAAGGTCAGTCTTGACCTACACGTCAAAACTTGAAAAAAATTTCCCTCTGCCCTACTCTTACCTTAAAATTTAGGTCAATTTAAAGGGTAGTTTTGACCTACAAGCATCTTCTCCCAAGAAGCCGTCAAAACTTATGTCAAATTTGATCTAATTTTTAACCTACAGATCAAAAAGTGGACTAATAACGGCTTCATATGAGCCGTTATATTAGGTAAAAATCTATGTCTAATAATTCAACCTATTTTTTTACCTGAAGGTCAAAAGTAGGCCCCATGGCCTAATAAATTCTAATAAATTCGACTTCATTATTCTTTTTACAATTCAACTGTTCACAATCATAAGAACTTCTTTTAGTATCTCCGTTTATCATTTAAGGGGCCGTCCATATATTACGCAACGCTAATTTTTGAAAAATTTGACCCCCCTCCCCCTATGTAACACACTGTTACATACAATAGCTCCATTTTTTGGCGTATCGTAACAAATAGCTTGACCCCCCCTTCCCCAAAAAAGTACAGTGGAACCTCGATTATCCGAACTAACCTAGGTAACGCCGGGTTCGGATAATCGAAAGTTCGGATAATAGAGATTTTAATGATTTTCATAATTAAAGTAAAAAAATTGGACAGTTGAACTATATATATTTAATTTAATACATTTTTTTAAGATATATAAGTATATTGTATATGCAAATATATATTAATTTATAATAGGTAATAAATTAATAAAACAGAGAATTCATGATTTTTTAAGATTTTTTTGGCATAAATTTCGTTATTTTGCTTTGAAAGATGCTAAAAATGTCCCGCGAAAATATGAATGATAAAAAAATAAAGAAAATAAATATTAAGATTCGGACGGTCAAGAAAAAGTTCGGATAACAGAAGTTCGGATAAAATGATTTTTGGTTCGGATAATCGAGGTTCCACTGTATTACCTAATATATGGACAATCCCTAACTTATTATTATGCATTCATATTAAGAGAACCTGATTTGAAATTTTTTAAAATCGAAATAGATATAAAAATTAGAGTAAGGGGGTTGCCGCGTAGGGGGGCGCAGCCCCCTACTATATATATATTTTTTTAAAAATATTTTTCACTTGGTTTTATCTTTCACTTACATCTCGTCTTCTTTTTGTGTATAATTTTATAATTTTTATTACCTATTTGAAAGAGAATAAATTTTTAGAAACTAAGTATTTAAATTTTTGCTGAAAGAAATAGATGGTAAGATTTTGATGATAAAAAGATGATGTTATCCGGTATTATCAAAGATTGTTACAAAGTAACTAAATTTAATTTAATAAATAAATTGTTTCGTAAAACAATTTTTTATCATTACTCGCGTCTATTCTTTGTACATAAAATGGAGTTCTTACATACATCAAAATTGCTGGTTTCTCGGAACCTCTGGAAATATAGATAGTCCATGTTTTGAAAAGTAAACTATTTAATTATATTAGTCAATTCTTTCAGACTTTTTTGGTTAGGTTTCAATATAAATCGTCGAAATTTTTACGCACGTGGTGACAACATTTTCACTATTTTAATCGCGCATTGTGTTTGAAAATTTACCTTTGCAATAATTTGTGTATTTAAATTTATTTTCATTTGAATGTCATAAATAATTAAAAATAAATAGTTTTTGACAAGTGTATAAAATTGTGTACTCGAAATGTATAAAACATCATCTGATTAAGTATTGTATTTTGACTCGAAAATCTAGTGTCTATTAAAAAATTAAAATACCAAGTCGTGTTTAGTGTAGTGGTTATCGTTCCGGGTTTCAAAGTGCGTATTCGTTAGGTTCAGGTGTTCGCGTCCCCCCTGCGTCAAATATTTATTTCATAAGTTTAAATTAATTCTAAGGTATATAAATACAAAGTCAAATATAAATATGTTCAAATACAATAATTAATTTTTTTCTTTTTTCTTTTAATTAGTTTTTCTCTTTTATTTGATAATAAGAATTTGATTAGCAATTTCAAATCATTATGATACACAGTGTAAATCTAATATTATTCTCCTAGTCAATTTGACTATTTTTTCCTGATTACATCGACTAATTTTTCTGGTCACTTTAACTATGCTTGAATCTTATTACTTTGACCAGGATTCTATAGTTGGCTCCTCTCGTAACTAGGAAACCTAGTCAATTCCTGGTATACGGGTCCTAGGCATTTTTTTCGGTGTAGTTTAGAATTTAGGTTATTAGCTAATTTAATTCGGTAGAAAATTTTTACTACCTATCACCGTTTCCAGTTATTTTGATAAATTATTATTTAATAAATATACAAGTTACAAAATAAATGGATTAACACGAATTCGTATGAAAAAAAGTAAAACAGAACTATTTATTCTAACACATTTCAAGTTCATGTGAATACATAATTATTCTTGTTAACTAATATCAAATTACAGACTAAATCCTTAAAAGTAAATTTTATTTCTTATTTCAAAATAAAATTCCAACTTCCTAATTTGTCTATTGTATATTTATTGCTTTGTTACTGGTCTACTACTGGTCGGAACATAAAATCTGTACTTTTATATTACTGATTTTCAGTACTAAGCCCAAGCCAGAGGCGTTACCTCCCGATGTTGAACACGTAATAGGCCAGTATGAAAGTCAATACTGGTTGAAATGTTTTCGTACTGAACCAGTAATGTGCCTATAGTCAATTTCTACCTGGGTTCATACCTGCACCAATAAACCTTTTTTTGCACAAAACATCCTTTTCCAAAAATTCCTTGGTTGCCAGATTTCTACATCAATTTTCAAAAATAGATGTTGCCAAATGTACCTGACAACTGCAATGCTCTTAGGATAGGACTAGCTCTGTTAGAATTACTTTGGTTAGAATACGAATAATCGCCGGACTCACTACATCTCGGCGATGTTTACTCCGCGCACCCGAAAGAATTTTTAAACATAATTAACCCCTCTTATGTATTCAGTGTTGTTTTTTAATACTTTATTGTAATAAATTAAGATAATTAAAAATGTTAATTTATTGTCTCAAAGTTATTCCTTTCCTAAAACCACAACCAAACAAAGATATTACAAAAATATTGTTATGCTACCCACTACAATCAAAGAAGTTACTCCTTACAACCTGATTGTATATGATATAATCTACATAGCTGTCTGTCTATATATGTGACCGCGTCTGAGAAAAGGGACCTTATGCCC